ATAATAATAATAATAAAGACTACAATGTCTTTGATCTGCAAACTTGAAGAACAGAGTTACCATTTACTGAGATGGATAAAACTACAGAAACAGCAGGCTTGGGAAGAAAATTTTCGCGTCCCGTTTTGCCCCTTCCCTTGGAGAGGCCTTTGCACCAGTCAAGTGAGGCTTTCCCAGCAGACACTAAGGCGTGCGGGGACTCAAGACAAAGTTCTTAAGGTATCAGAGCCCGCAGCACGCAGCTCGACTTTGGACATGGAGTTGGCTAATAGGAACTTTCTGTTTCCTGGAAGAAGAGAACAGAAATAGAAATCACATTGTTATGGAAAAGTAAACAATTTTATATCTCACATATCCACATTTGTGGACTGAAATTTACACCTTCCACATTAGAAAGGGCTGCGGCTCTTTATACCCAGCCAGGCATGACAGGTCTGGAGCTGGGCGGGGCTGGGCTTGTCAGGAGAGTGGGGTTGACTGCAGGGCTGGGAGTTTCCTGCGGGGTTTTCTGCAACCCCCTGGAAAACCACGACCCACTTTGCGCCTGTAACAAACATTTATCTGCGGTGCCTCTTGGATTGTTCTCCGTCTGCCAGGACTTGTCAGCTGAAAAGCCAGAGGGAATCCACCTCTGACTTGTCAGCATCAGAAAACCTTTGCCAAGCTAGGGAATGCAGAGTCCAGAGCAGCAATCTTCCACTGTAGGTAGCCAGGGGGGTTAACAACCATCACTAGCAGACAGTATTAAGAACTGATTAGTAAACCTTTCCTGTGTGCTCGGCACTCTGCTAAGCGCTTTGCGCCTAACATCACATTCTGCCCTCACATTAAGCCTCTTATGAACTTAAATCTTCCATGTATAAACAAGCACAGAGAAGTTAAGTGACTTGCCCAGGGTCACACAGCCAGAAAATGAAGAAGCAGGTGGCACATTCAGATACGTAAATTCTACTCTAAAGCCCTGTGCTTTAGAGGAATAAAAACAGAACTACAGGGCCAAGGAATTAGCTCAGGGGTTCAGCCGCCCACCTTGCAAGCACAAGGTCCCGAGTTCATCCCCAGTAACAAAAAAAAAAAAAAATTGACAGAAGCTTTCTTTCCCATCCTTATGTATTTCATGACTTGAGAAGATGTGACCCAGTGCCCCAAGTAAACCTGACTTCCTTACCAGCCCTCAGCACTGAGTTTGGAACATATTTCTTGTCTGGAGCTTGCTGAATGAATGAAGGATTGAATGAATGAATGAACACAAAACAGTGATTAGCATGCACATTCCATGATGCTTAGGAATGAATGAGCCTTTCTCTCCAGGGAGGCTATGAGCCCTTTGAGAGGAGACGGCTTTTCTCACGGTACGTAGGGTGTGGCTTTTAAATCCAACATCCGGGGAAGTGTGAGGTATGGGCTAAAATACATGGATTCTGGAGACAGACTGCTCAGGGTTACGTTGTGCCTTCTCTGCTGGCTGTTAGACCTTGAGCAAGGTCTTCAACCTCTGCGCCTCGATGTTCTCATCTGGGAAATGGGGAGGATGTACTGCCTTAAACGCACTGATCAAGATGGGTTAAGACTTTGGTTGGTAGTAGTGCTCAACAGAATTAGCTATGTGTCCATGGAGCCAGAGAAAGAAGCCCGTCTGTCCATGGTGGGGACACATAGTCTGTGTCCTGCTGCCTAGAAGAAGAAGAGATCATTTTAGCAGATAGGGTGGCACACACCTGTAATCCCAGCAGTCTGGGAGGCTGAGACAGGAGGATCACAAATTCAAGCCTGGCCTGGGCAACTTAGTGGTTTATCAAGACTCTGTCTCAAAATAGAAAGGGCTGGGGGTGTGACTCAATGTGAAGGCCCTGCAGTCCAATCCCCAGTACTGCCAAAGCAAGGAAAACAACGCTTTTTGGAACATTCGATAGACACCTAATATGCATCATTGCATCTGACCTGACATCCATAATGTGAGCACCATTACTATCTCATTTTCCTAGTGGAACTAGCTTGCCTAAAAGAATGTAAGTAATTTATTAAGAGTCTCAAAGCAAGTAAAGGCAGATAAAGAAAAGGAACTAGTATGTGTTCCATGGACTCAGGTTCCATATCTGTTGTATTTGAAAAATAAAACATTCAACGTACGCCAAACATGGGGGTCTGATACAAGAAAATGACCACCCAGACCAAAGGAGACTGTGGAAGAACCCTGGCCTTAGTAACAGGAAGAAGCTACTCTAGTTGTTAGGGCCAGAGAGACAGAGGGAAGAGGTGCCATCGCTGATGCCCAAAGCTGGGCCATCTGGAACGAGCGAGGACCATGGCAGGGCTGCCCAGCAAGGAACCAAACCACAGACAAGAGGCAGCTCCTGCTGGAGAAGGACCCATGACCCTGGGGAGTCAGGGACGCCTGGTGCCCTGCTTTGTCCACCATCCAATCTCCTGTCTGTGCCTCTTGGGGGGCTCGACTTAGGCAAAGCCGATTGGCCAGCTCTCAGAAGAAGGTGGATGGACTTAAAATCCAACAGGTGGGCCTAGAGAGGTTCTTCTTGAAGGGAAAGGAAAGGCCAGGCAGACACTAAAGTCTGTGTTCTTCACCCGGAGAGCAAACTCAATGCCTACAGAAGGCAGGCAGATTACACAAAGGCCTGCAGCCAGCTGACAACAGGGAGTGGAGAAGACAGAACGGAGGAACCACCCTGTCCTACTGGGACAGCTCCCTAATGGAGAAACAGGAAACCCTGCTGTTCAGCTTAAACCTACCACTTTTTTTAATGCTGGGAAAGTGGTAAATTTAACTTGAAAAATCTGGAAACTCAATCCAGATGAAAGGGAAATAAAAAGATTTAAGATGTATTCTGTGCAGGTACCAAATACCCACGATGCATCAGAAAAGAAAAGAAAAGAATTAATGGGGCAGGTGTGTAGCTCAGCGGCCCAGCCCTGGCCTAGCATTCTGGGTTCCAACCCCAGCCCCTCATTATAATCAGTAAATGATCCTGGGACAGAAAGAGACATCAGGGGAGGAACTCAAACTCTGAAGACTGGAATTCAGTGAATAGTGATAAACAGTGGTTTCTCAGTTCTCTGAAAGATGCCACATTAACGTAAGAAATTAACATCAAGTCTACTAGATAAAGGCTTACAGGAACTCTGTATTATTTTCACAGTTTCAATAGTTCCAAAATAAAAAGCTATTCTAAATATAATGAAACACCTTAAACTCATTTTTTAAAACCAATGAGTTCATGATACAAATGAGAGACCAAAAAAAAAGCGGGGGGGACTAATTCATCACCACTGAAGGCAGTTATTGCACAAAATCCCTACTCTAAAAATAGCAGTAATTAAAAGGAAATAATTTATTCTACCCTAGACAATGAGAGAAAGAACGTCTTGACAGAAGAGTATCGGCTCTTGGAGGAAGCTGAACCTTGGAATTTTGCAACACCAGCCGATTAATTGACTCAGGCCAGGCTCATGAATGGATGCTGAAACCACATTTCAGGTGAAAGGTTCAAGAGAGACTGAAAATTCACAGTTGCCGATTCGTCAGCTCGCAGAAAGCCTACCGGTTGTAAGACAGGAAACGACTTTACAATGCAGAGCTCAGGTTTCCACCACCCTCGCCCACCCATCAATCTCAGAGTCACTCATGAGCCTGTGGGCGCAGTGCAATGGGCACACACACCACCATCTGGGCGAACAACTATGGCAAACAATGTTTAGCCAAATCTTACCCAGCCACGGACTGAGCTTCTCGCCTACAGGAAATGCCGGCGACGGAGGAACCAGTTAAATACACCACCAGGAAGCAATCAGAGGGGCCAGGAAAGTAGGTTATTCCACCAACAAGACAATGCGTCTAGTTGCTTCAGCAAGTCAGTGACCTGGAAAAAAAAGGGAGGGTATACTTTAGGGTTAGATTTGAGATAGGATTAAAAACAATCGGGGAGGGGGGTGATTGGATCCTGGTTTGAACCAACCGTAAAAGACATTTTTGGAGGGCTACTGGAAAATGTGGCTATGAGGGAATTAGACATCAATAAAAGTTGGAGTTCATTTTATTAGGAGTTATAATGGTACTACTTCGTCTGAGTCAAGAACATCTCATTTTCTTAAGGGTGCATATTGATATATTTAGCAGTGAAATATCATCTTGTCTGTGAAGACTTTAAAATACTGCAGCTAAGAAAGCAAAAGTATGTGCAGTCAATATGGCAAAATGTTCACAATTATTATAGTTGAGTGATGTGTGGATGGATATTCATGATTTGTTCCACTTTTCTGCATGTTTGAAATTATTCATACTAAAGAATAAAAACAGGGCCAAGGATTTAGCTCAGCAGTTCGGTGGCCTGCCTTGCAAGCGCAAGGACCTGAGTTCGATCCCCGGTACCCAAAAAAAAAAAAAAAGAATAAAAACAAGTATAGATTAAACAAGAATTCATCTGTTGCACCAACTATATGCTAGGCACTGACCTAGGTACCACAGCTAGGGAAGTGAATTTTTTAAAAATCTGGACACAGTGGTACACATCCATGATTCTAGTACTTGGGAGGCTGAGGCAGGAGAATCTTGAGGGCAAGCCCAGTATGGGCTACACAGGCAGACCTTGTCCAAAAACAAACAAGGATCAGTGGCACCGCACCTGCCTCCCAAGCGCAAGGTCCCGAGTTCGATCCCCGGTACCAAAAATTCCAAACAACTCAATAAATGTAAATACTTTGTCCTCCTAGATTCCCATCCAGTTAGAGAAGGAAGACAATGAATAAGTCAGGAAGTTAAAGCATAATGTGGTGACAGATTCTGTAGAGAAATGTAAGAGCAAGAAACAAAAATAAAATTACCTATCTGGGGTAGATATTGCTATTTTATTTGAAGAAATCAAGTAAGACTTCTCAGAGGAGATGCATCAAAGCAGAGACATAAAAGTTGTGAGCCACTGGAATATCTGGTAGGGAACACTCAAGAGTTCAACATAGAAGTTAAAGCAAGTTCAAAGACCCTGAGATAGGTCCAAGATTATCACATTCAAGAAGCAACAGCAGGTCTTTGGGAGCCATGTGGAATGACCAAGGGGACCAATAGTACGAGATGAGCTCAGAAAGGTGGGGAACAGGGATGGAGGGTTGAGATGGTGGAGAATTTGCAAGCTATATGCATCTTACTCTGAGATGGAAAGCATAAAATGAGGGAATGGCCTCACTCGGGGATTTTTGTTATTTCTGTGGTGCTGGGATTAAACGTGGGGCCTTGCATATGCTTGGGAAATGCCCTTCAACTGAGTTACATCCCCAGCCCTTTGGTACCAAACTCGTGATCTTGTGCTTGTGAGGCAGGTGTGTCACCACTGAGCTAAATCCCTAGCCCAGTTTATTTCTTTTTAATTATTAGTATGGAAATTTTTAGACAAACAAGCATAGAGAGGATAATGCATACTCAAGAACGACCACAAACTTCAGCCTTAGTAATTCATAGCCAATCTTGTTTCATCTACTTCATACCATTCTAATGGATTATTTTGGAGCAAATTCCAAACATCTTATCACTTTACCTCTTTTGTTTTTCTTTTTCTTTTTTAGTACTGTGGATTACTGTGGCCTTCACACTAAACCTTTAAAAAATTTTTTTTTTAATTTTGAGACAGGGTCTCATTAAGTTGCTAAATTGTAAGTAATAAATATATATACATAATACATA